TTTTTTTATGCTGGTGGGAGGGTGTCATATTGAGTACAAGTGGGATCTACAAACAATTATCCTCTTGACAGCCTATACCTCTTCGCGTGACTCATTGGCCAAAGTGACGTAACGTTGCCACCGCGAATCGTTAACAGCACTGACGCATTACCGTTGCCAGTCCGGCTTTACTTAAATCCTGATTGCGGTGACAAATGACTCTTTGCCTATTGCTAAAGGTGAAACTAAATAAATAACTACATAAATACATCAGCAATAGCGCTCGAATGCTAGCGAGGCATTCGCGGGCCACTTGACATTCCGCTCATGGAAATTCCACGCTACAAATGTACTTGGTTGCTGCATTGCGAACTACAAGGTGGGCCCAAGTGTGGCAGGACACATCGGGTTATTTACTTTATTGCAACACTGGCATTAAATACATTTTTACGTTTTATTCTTTAATTACATGTTTAATTATTCGTCATTATTTCACGATAAAAGCTAGAATTTGTGGTCAGGTCGCTTCTGACCAAAAGGAGCTACAGTATATATAGCCTGTGGGCCTTACCCGGTAAAAAAATAAATACAAAGTCTAGTTTTAGTTTAATATCTTTTTTAATCTTAATTTTTCAGGTGACATGTAAAAATGGAAAGAAGACTGACCAAAGACGAACAAGTTCAATTCGTTTTTATGTACGCTAAAGAGGACAGCTGAAATGTAAAAAAAGGTCATAAATTCATTTCAAAAGAGAAATCCATGCGTGCATCATTGTTAATGGAAGGCAGTTTGTTAAATGAAATAACCCGATGTGTCCTGACTTTTGGGCCACCCTGTACAGTAAGTGAAGGTGGCCAAGTTACTCAGGGGTCAAAGCAGTGAGCCGTCACTGCTTTGGGTTCAAGTCTGGGATTCAAGTCTGAGGTTAATTTAAAAAAAAAACCTCATTATATTCAAAATGGCTTTTCAAATCATTTGGCAAAATTCCAGTTCGATTTGGTTTCCACGCGATGGTTATTTCTCTGGCTGCACACAAAGTGTGGTGCCCATAGTACGGTTAAGAGGCTCCTAAAAGGGATCTCAGAAGCAGTTCTGTAATATCGCCTTCTGAGGGCCACTCCCAATTAGAGTGTGACGCATGACCAGGTACCGAGAGCACAGCTGTAATAAGAGTCGGGAAGAAAAAATATATAATGATTACAAAACAAATAGAGAGCACATTTTGGTTGATACAGCTAAGGCACCGCTTGGTACAAAAGGCTTAGCCCATTCCGTGGTGAAGCCCGACCAGGTGTCACAGTGTATTGCAACATCCGGCGCGTCGTTTCGTTCTTTTACTGCGGCAGTCTGGACGACGACGGCAACGTAAGCCAAGTCTGCCATTCGTGTCCGTTGGTGGCGGTAACTTTTGATGTCTTTTTACGTCCGTAACGAACGGACGTCCACAGAGCGAGCTTCTAACCCACGTCACCACGGCTGCTGTTTTGACCTCCTCGACTGTTTTGACCTCCTCGGCTGATTTGACCTCCTCGACTGCTTTGACCTCCTCAGATGATTTGACCTCCTCGACTGTTTTGACCTCCTCGACTGTTTTGACCTCCTCGACTGCTTTGACCTCCTCGACTGCTTTGACCTCCGACTGCTTTGACCTTCTCGGCTGATTTGACCTCCTCGGCTGATTTGACCTCCTCGACTGTTTTGACCTCCTCGACTGCTTTGACCTCCTCGGATGAGTTGACCTTCGACTGCTTTGACCTCCTCGACTGATTTGACCTCCTCGACTGTTTTGACCTCCTCGACTGCTTTGATCTCCTCGACTGATTTGACCTCCTCGGATGATTTGACCTCCTCGACTGCTTTGACCTCCTCGGATGATTTGACCTCCTCGACTGTTTTGACCTCCTCGACTGATTTGACCTCCGACTGCTTTGACCTCCTCGGCTGATTTGACCTCCTCGACTGCTTTGACCTCCTCGACTGCTTTGACGTCCTTGGCTGATTTGACCTCCTCGACTGCTTTGACCTCCTCGACTGCTTTGACCTCCTCGACTGCTTTGACCTCCTCAGATGATTTGACCTCCTCGACTGTTTTGACCTCCTCGGCTGATTTGACCTCCGACTGCTTTGACCTCCTCGGCTGATTTGACCTCCTCAACTGTTTTGACCTCCTCGACTGCTTTGACCTCCTCGAATGCTTTGACCTACTCGACTGCTTTGACCTCCTCGGCTGATTTGACCTCCTCGGCTGATTTGACCTCCTCGGCTGATTTGACCTCCTCGGCTGATTTGACCTCCGACTGCTTTGACCTCCTCGGCTGATTTGACCTCCTCGACTGCTTTGACCTCCTCGACTGCTTTGACCTACTCAACTGCTTTGACCTCCCGGCTGATTTGACCTCCTCAGCTGATTTGACCTCCTCGGCTGATTTGACCTCCTCGGCTGATTTGACCTCCTCGGCTGATTTGACCTCCGACTGCTTTGACCTCCTCGGCTGATTTGACCTCCTCGACTGCTTTGACCTCCTCGACTGCTTTGACCTCCTCGACTGCTCAGGGCGGCGCGACGTTTCATCTGAACGCTCATCCCAAACCCTCCGTCCCCCACCTCCCGCCTGCACCTTTTCTCCACAATTAACGATCCACGAACGCCCATGACACCGGTTAACATTCGCGATCCCTTTTTTCCTTTTATAAAACAAGCAGGTAAATTAAATATTGTTAAAGTAGTTTCCTTTTTTTTTACAATATTCACGTCAACCAGCTGTTTGATATTCAATTCCGTGTAAAATGTAATTAACCCCGGCTCGTAATACAGTCTTTTAGTTCCAAACTCCCGTAGTCCTGTACTGCTGCTCCTGCAGTGCTGCTGCTACCACTACTAAAGCAACTACGACTGCTGTGGTTACTAAGGCCACTGTGCTACTGCTACTATTATGACTACTGGTGCTCATATGACTTCGAATGCTAAAACTAGCATGACTACTGCTGCTAATAATACTTTATTTAAGTCTGCTTTGAAAACCCATCTCGTTAAACCGGCCTTCCCCCCTCTTTAGTTTGGTTGGTGGCCATGGTTGTTTTTTGTTTCCTGCTTTCCATGCATTGAACATTGTGATCCTAGGATGGAATGCGCATTATACATTTGAATTATTATTATTAATGACTACTGCTGCTAATATTAATAGGCTCACTGCTGCCTCCAATGACTGAAGCTGCTGCTACAATACAACAATGACTACTGCTGCTCCAACCACCTCCGACTTCTGCTGATACTAATATGGTTGCAGCTACGAATACAAATATGACGACTTACGCTGGTACTAATATGACTAATACTGCTTCTAAAAAAAACTGTACTTTGTAACCACTGCTCCGATTAGCACCGTTGGCTACGTACGGCGTGAAAGAAGTTCAACATACATGCATACATACTGCTGCCGATACAACTGTGACTACAGCTGCTGCGACTACTACTACTGTGACTACTGCTGACGTGATGAGTAACGCTACGATTATTCATATTCCCCATAAAACAAGGGGCGGTCCGTCGATCCCCCGGCTGTGTGATTGGTTGAGGTGACATCACCTTGGGGATTCAGGACTGTCAACACCCGAGCGCTGAAGCCAACAGTGACAGCAAGGGAGCACTTGCTGGGAATTAAATAACGACAACCGATTCATCTTCGTCCAGACGAGGCACGCACTGCCATTGAGGTGGAAACCGGCTTCTTGGGGGTTCATGGGGTAGGAGGGCAGCGTAACAACTGTGACGGGATGGCATCGGCGTTGCTTCGCCGAAGGACCGACGGCGTTAGGGTTGGTGAGTTACGAGGGGAATGGATCAAATGTGAAACTCCGCGCGATCCAACGCGAAACGCATGCTGGGTAGTGCCACTGTTTGCAGCGGCAGCAGTCGCTCTGAATTTAATTAGATGCATTTATCCATGCGCCCTCCACGTAATTACATTTATTGGCATGATCTGGGATCGTGATTTGATCAAAATAGTTATCATTTTTGTGTAAAATGTTCACCACGTGCTTTGTACGACTGCATTTTTTTTCTGTCCAGCAATAATAATAATTTATGGATATTTTGCAATCTACTCCTGAAAAAAGGCTTATTCATGCCGTTTCAGTTGATTGGCCACGCTTTGCCATGCTGGTCACTATGGGTTGGTGAAGAGGAGGCCCAAGATCCATTAACAAGCCACTCATGACCGATGTTATTAGTAAATAATTTTAAGAGATCTTGATTCTAAAATGCACGATTTCATGCATGTGCATTTTTAAATTGCAATAGTGCATTGGCAGCAGTACTGCAAGAGCACCAACACGCTTTGTCAACAATACTGCCCCGAAAGATTAAAACATACGCAACAGGTGACATTTTAGACAATGGCCTTTCTCTCTGCCAGCAAGGGACGTTGCCCCAGACATCGCCTGTTCTGTATTTTCCCCACTCTAGGGCGTGTGTATGTTGATCTTATTTCGCACCGTACGTAGCCAACCGTGCTAATCGGAGGTGCGGTGTTAAGGTGCTGTCGACGATGAGCTCAATGTCCCCCGCTCCTTCACTAAGCCCTGCCGCGCCAATCTCGGGCTTTTGTTCGTGGAATTTCTGTGCCCCCCCCACCACCCCCCCACCTTTTGTTCTGTGATCGGTGCTCTGTACCGGTGCTTGCGTCAAGGAGTTGACGTAAAAACAATGCGAAAATAAAGGGCTGTCGATGAAAACGCACTTCAATTGGCGGTTGGCGTTCGAAGTGGAGTGCGGCCCTCAAAGGGAATGGCGCCACCCCCCCCCGTGATCGCCCCCCCCCCCCGTGATCGCCCCACCCCCTCCCCCCCGTGATACGGTGGATCAAACAAATCACTCGAGAGCGGTTTACGCAGATGCTTCTCGCAAGAGGTCACACGTTTGGCGCAACGGTACTTCGCCGACGATGCGTGGTGGACGAACGACGAGAGCGCCGAGTGTCGCTGCTCGATGAATGGACGCCGTGAGCCGCCGGGTACTCACTACGCAGCCGAGTCGTTGAGCTGGTACTCGTTGGCACGACCGAAGCAGGTCTTCACACCCTCGTCCATCCACAGCCGCTGGATGTTCCCAGCGAGCTCCAGCGTGAGCGCCACCTCCTCCGACGTGCTCGCCAACTCAAACAGCTGCCGCGCATCGTCCTGTGACCGAGGAGCAGAGAGAGGGGGGGGGGGGGGGTGGGGGGGGGGGAGTGAAGTTGTGGGACGAGCGGATGGGGAATTCGTCGTTCAACGTGGCGAGATGTTAACTACCTCGCTTGATATACAGGAGGTCGTGGGTTCAATCCCGACCCTTACGCCTGTTGTATATTCGGAGTTTGCGGTGTCTCTCTCCCCGTGGTCGCGTAGATTTTTCTCCGGGTCCTCCGGTTTTTCCCTCCACATTTAAAAACGTGCGTTTAGAGTGTTTGGCAGCAATACATTTCCACGCGATAAACCACTTCATTGAGCCGTCATTTGAGGACAGGTCACTTCTTAAAAAGAGCTGTTTGGCTCAATAAAAATAGTTGAGTTTAGAACGTGGAGACATCGTTCGGCACGTTTATTACCCATGCATCGGTGGAGAAGCTATTGAGTGTGCAGGCGGTGCAATTGCACTCCCTGCAGGGGGGAGGGGGGGGGGGAGCAGCAGGGCCCATGCCAGATGCATGACTATGCCGCTGTCAGGCAAATGAAAATAAAACATTTATCAGATTGTACAATTAAATTCATAGACCGTGTACTACAGTATGCAAACTTAACGGACTTGTTATTTCGGAAATGGAATGATAGCAGAGAGGGGCCACTTTCACCGACAAGACATCATCAGCGTGAGGGCTGCCACACATTTGAAACCATTGGTGGTTTGACAGCACAATGGGGGTGTTTTCATGTCTGTGTATTGTCAGGGGCCGCACTAAAGGCCACCAGGGGTTTCCAGTGGCCCGCTGGACTTGCAATGAAGAACACCGAATTATAGAGCTGGAAGCTGTTGACGTGAGACTTGAAAAACTGCAAATAGCATTCGGGCAGTAAGACAGGGGCAGTGAAGAGGTTTAGCGTAAACGTTCGGGGTATGAACGATGAGGGAAAGTGGTTTGTGTGGCAGGTTGTCAGGGCACAGACCGTTGTATGACATCTTGAGCATTCAGATGGCACGTGAATCCATTTTGTATCAGAATATTTATTTATACTGAAGGAATCCGATGAGTTATAAAGCTATTTTTCACAGTTGCCGTGCTGTATTTTGAGCTGCCACCCGGTGAGATTTAGTCTTTTGTAAATCAGTATGAGGGTTAATGTACAGCGTACTTTAAGCATCAATGGGGATTATTAAAATGTAAACTCACGCAGCTCAAGCCATCGACTTGACAGTACTCCACAGAGAGGCGTTTTAACGTGGCCCGGGCTGGAATGTTTTAATGGAATGTGGGAGGGGAACTCGGTGATGGTGGGGAGGTAGTGGCGGCTGAAAGGGACGGACCGGAATAAATGAAATACACAATAACCGTGACTCACTATTGCCCAACATGGGCAGCATTTTATCAACTTGCAAACATATGTTTTCTGGAATGGTGAAATGAAATATTACATCATTTAACATTGAAAAAATTGAAAATACGATAAAGGCCACATTAATATGAAATATTATAAAAGTCGCGCATAGAAGGCATATTTTCTGCGTAATAGTTAGGCTTGCCATGATATCATTTTTCATGATGAGATATGATATCCGTTTTCACGATTTGACAATTATAGAGATATTCGTTTCTCAGAAACTCTGTTAGAGGAGTTTGGGCATTAATTGAATTGTTTATATGATTTGTTGTACTTCATATATTAATTTTGATTATTTTCAAAGTTCACCAACTCCAGCCATCCAATTTCTCTAAAGAATGCATTGCAATCTGCATTTCTTGCAATGCACATGCTATCAGCTATACAACAAGGTAATTGAATCAATTCTAAAAATTGTGATATCGTATTACCAGGCCATCAATGACTCTGGAAAACCTTTTGCCTTCCGATAATTTAATGGAAAATAAATATTTATTTGAACTTTTATTGTTGTGTTTTCTATCTCATGAACCTTTCGTGCGAAAGGTAAACATTCAAAACATAAAAGGAGCAACGACGATCATAAACATTACGATATTTGGCAAATACCCGACGATGGAATTATCGTGGGCCCAATATTCAACGGTATATCGGAGCGCCGCCATATTGCGGGCAAACCTTGACCTAACACGACGAGGATTCGCCAAGGAGCATAAACCGTCATGCGAACTCCGTTCATCGCCACAGCGGCTTTTGGCTGGCCATCGAACAAAGACGGTTACCGCATAGTGCGCTGTCAGATGCGCTTCTGCGGTCGTCTGGAATGCTCTTCCCATCGATATTAGAAAGCCACTGGGAGCTATGCACTTTTAAATATAAATTGAAAACCAATTTCTTTAGAACTGCTTTTTTGTGTTTAGTTTGTTGTCCTTCCCCCGCACCTCCGATTAGCAGGGTTGGCTACAAACGATGCGAAAGAATTTCAGCATGCAGTATGTACGTACGTCTTAGAGAAGAAATGTTCTCATTCGGTAGACCTCTCTGCGGATCGGAAAGTGAGCACTAAAGGGAATATGCTCACAATAACGGAAGCGACAAAGAAAAAACACGTGGCACTTCACTGTAAGCCCCCTCCGTCTGTTGTAGACGTGTGGTCGATGCGTTGCACCATCGGCGCAATTTCACCGCTGTAGCCGTCTACTGCTGTGGACTTATGTATGTTGAACTTTTTTTGCACCCATACGTAGCCAACCATGCCAGTCGGAGGTGAAACGGTGGATAAGCGGCTCTCCTTTCATCTTCTTGCGTATGGCATCCTGAATAATAACAGGAAGATCTGTGCCCAAGTCTGAATGCAATTTGACTAACTTCAGGTGAGGCCAAATTAATTACTGCTGCCGCCTCCGTTGAATTTGCGAGGTTGGCAGAGGTTCGCAAGGTGCCCTATGGTTTGTTCGGCATTTTCGCAGTTGCATTCCAGGCTTCCCTTTGATTTCCTACTCACGAAGGTGGCGTGGGCCGGCTGCGTGTATTCTAATTGAGCGTGCTCCATTGTTTGTGCGGAAGGTCGGCACAGGCGGCTCAGGGTTGGGATCTGATATTAGATATACGGCTCTCGGTAAATCATTAAGTAATGCTCTATGAATCAATCAATAGGTGTCGATGGGGAACAAATTATAACCAATCACTGTGTTTTTGCTCACGCTACAGGTCAGGTACACGCCCTCTCATAAAACAAACTTGCATTTCGATTGCTTTTTGTGTTGAGTTTGTTGTTCCCACTCTCCGCACCACGGATTAGCATGGTTGGCTACGTACGGCGCGAAAGAAGTTCAACATGCGTACGAACGAATCCTTGAACTGCTTTTTGTTCTCGAGTTGTAACCGAAATGACAAACAACCTTTCGGTGAACCAACAGCAGTCTTGGCGAACCACAGGCACCTCCGTGGTAGCCGCACTCAGCACCGCACGCACGCTACGCGTACCAAGATTGATGATTTTTATGCGCAGTTACATTTCACCCCGTGACGTGTCGCTCCACGCAGCGGCAGCCATCTCAAAGGTGCCAACAAAAATGGGACAAAGCGCACAACTGTACAGTGATTTTGGATTCGATTAATGCCAAAATTCCAGCACACTGCGACACTGTTCCCCCCTTTGTTAGTATTCGGATGGTTGTTTTGGAACAGTGTTTACTGCAACTAAGATTCAATACGAGCAAAAGCGGCGAGAGAAATGCCAGCCAAGGAAAAAGCACGTAGTTAAAATCGCATCGACCATCCGTAATTAACTTTTGTCCATTTCCTTTCGCTCGCGCGATTTTCGTCCAAAGTGCGTGGGTGTCCTTGGCGGTGGATCAACAACGCGGGAATTTAATAGACGGCGACGACCTCCGGCTCGTTAACAAATTACTCTGCCCGACACCAACATTTGACAGGGCAGCCACCACAGAGGCATGAAAGGCCTCTAGACTTGACCAAATGAAAGTCAAAATAGCTGACAGGAAGAGATATATAACCGCAATAATTGTACAAGCCTGCCCTCTATGTGTGTGTATACATGAGCCTGGCAGTGAGCTCTGTCCACTTTCCATTGGCTTCAGCGTGACACTGCGGGCAGTGTATCCAGGGCGACCCTCGATCGGGCTCACCACCCAGGGGCGTGAACCCGATCTTCCAGATGCCGAGCCCGGGAGACGCATCGAGCGCACATCAATCACGCGGTGGACGGGCCGTCCGCCTCAGAGGCTGTCCGCGGGTTACTCACCGCTCGGCTCATGTCGGAGAACTCGATGCGGAGGTTGCCCATGGCGCGAATGATCGCGATGATCGACTGTATGGTGTTGCTGAACACCACGGCCTTGTATTGCAGGCACTCCTCAGGCGTGTAGCCGTCTTCGTGGATAATCCTGGGAGGCAAACAAACGGCGGTAAACGCGTTCCTGATCGGGGTGCAATGCAAGAGAGAGGGGTTTTACAATGCAGCCGCTGTTTTGCTTTTGTGTGCCCTGTGAAATTATGAGAGCATTGCCGGATTCCAAAGGATTTCCGCGTGAGCGTGATGGGCGCAACATCACGCCAACATCCCGCAAAGACGATTTAACACGTAGGCTTTCGCGACCGATATCATCCATAATAGAGGTGTTTGGGTTAGATCGCTTAAATATATAGATGCGTCGTTAAAACCCGCCACCACCCGACACAGCCAACTAGTAAGGGTTGTCACGTAAACAGAACGTGGCCAATTCGTCACTAGTACAGCACACCGGTGTGTTGTAGAGCCAAGCCACAACATTTATAATCTGAGTACGACGTTTCGCCAGTAATTACAACTAGCTTCATCAGGTGACAGCCAGATTCGAGTCAATTTAAGAGCAGCGGTCGGGTTATTACTCAACGTAAAATGCTGTTCGCGTAAGAATGCCTGACAATGCCTAGAATTGTGTTTTTGTTGGGGGGGGACATGGGAGAATCAAATGGATAACTGTGCCGATATGCAGGTGTTGGCAATGAATTGCAGCTCACTCCCACCCCTGGCGACTCACTCCAGGCACAACAACCTGCAACCGTGACGCGGGGTGCGATCACGCGTACCCCACGCGGCGCTCTGCGTTAGAATAAAAACAAACGGCACACAAGGAGGCCGGGGGAACTTACTTCATCTGTTTGACGATGGTACTTTTGCCAGATTCACCGGCACCTGAAACACAAGAGGAAACGAAACGGCGAATGAGATGAGTGAAGAACGCGGACAACGAATGAGGGCTGGGACACAATCTGCAGGTTTAAAGATTTTCCAATTGAAGAAAATCTAATCGTGCTCACCCAGAGGCTGTGATCTGCACACAAAATAACGAATAAAGGCGCCTCTCAGTGGACATCATTCTTCAGTGAGGGGAACGTTTAAGTGTCACGGTCCTTGTGGCCGACGTAACCGTCGCGTTATAAACGTAACTGCGCAACAACAGGCTGTGCAAGTGCTGTACGTGAACGCACACGCATCTGAATTATTAAAACCCAACAGGTGGATACACGCACGGCTGTATTAAACAGTGCAAATGCCAAACGGTGTGCATGCAGCCACACAACTATTTTACTATTTTTTTTTCTACCAGGTAAGGCCCAAATGAGCTATCTTTTTTTTTATATAAGCGACCTGGTCACAATTGATAGCTCAACGAAGTAGCATATCACGTGGAAATGTATAGTGTCAGCCAAACACGGTACTATGAACGCACGTTGATTGTAAATATGGAGGGAAAGGCCGAAGGACCCGGAAAAAAATCCTCGCGACCACGGGGAAAACATGCAGACTCCAAATATACAGGCGTCAGTGTCGAATTGGAACCAACGACCTCCTGTATGCCGGGCGAGACAGTTAACATCTCGCCACCGTGGCTCTCTAAAAAAATAACCTAGGACGAGCAGCTCTGCAATTGGTTGCTCATTGCCACCGCTGGTGAAAAGGCCTCCACTTGAGAGAGCGTTCGAGAGCTCCGTATGGAAGGTGGGTTGGCCTACTCGCTCACGCTGGCCAGAGGTGGGAGTGTCCACACGTCACCCCGCCACATGCAACCTGCCAGTTGAACAACTGCAGTGAGCCCGTTCAGACTGGTGGATGGACAGAGGCGCTGGGGGATGAAAGAAACGTGCACTTCTAGATTTGAAGCTTTCGTGACTGCAAGGATCCATACTCTTTGGTTCTATTCGGTAAAGTCACGTAGGTAAAAAAATAAAACAACAAAAATCACGACGTTTCGGCCACAACACAAGCGGCCCCCATCAGGTGCAGGGACCAGACTGTCTCGAAGACTGCGCTGTTTGCAGGGGTGGAGCCAGGATTTTGACTTTGGGGGGGCTGGCTGACTTCAATATTCTGACATATCCAGTGTTCATGTTTTCCAATGGGCGCCACAAATGTATAAGACAAATTTTATTGGATTTGAACGCGGAGTTTATTAATAGGTCGGAGCCGCTGGCTAATAAGTTCGATAAGTTCGTACTTTTGCAGCAGCCGGATATACGGTTATCCCGATACCGACTTTCCCAAAATTTCAGGGGGGCTAAGCCCCCCTCAGCCCCCCCTGTTGCTCCGTCCCTGACTGTTTGACAATGTGATAGTTATATTCTTAACAGTTCTAAAAAAACACAAATTATAAATTCCAGTAAACGACACGGGAAAACTTTTTTGACTAATCAGACGATGAAGGGAAGGAAGAGCAAATGGGCTATCAGATCATAATAATAATGTATTTACATGAAGTGTAAATGCTACAAACGTCTCAAGATGGAGCATAGGGCAAAGAATGTAAACACAATCAGCGCATGCAGACAAAATAAATAATGAACCCAATAGCGAAACAAAAAACACACGTGTCGGGCAGATGGAGCACAACACCGTTTGTGTGCCGACCCGCTCCAAACCACTCAAACAAACCCACGAGCACGTCGACCTGTGCCGTAATGTGTAACTATTGATGCGGCAAAAAAAAAAACATCTCTCATTTTGACTCCTGGAGGGTTAGAACGGGAAAGGGTGATAATTATCACCCCTTCTCGTTCTAACCCTAATTATAATTAGGGTTAGCAGACAAGGGATGGGGGCGCGGGGCGGGGGGGTTTAATTAGGTAGGGGCGTTTCGTGAAGCAGAGTCGAGACAATGTCAGAGGACGGGAAGGGGAGAAGAGGTCTGGGAAGACTCACAAAGAAGAGAATCAAGCGTGGACAACTGCGGGAAGAGCATTCCAGACGGCAGGGGCAGCAGAGGAGAATGGGCAACCTCTCACGGGTTCGAAGCCCGACTTTGGGTTATACCAAAAGGGGGTAGGTGGGACACTCTCTTGGCACAAAGGGATACAACCAGGTGACTGCACAACTGTGAGGACCTGCATAGAAGCTGTTGGTTTTTTACTCTGCATTCCGGAACATGTACACACGCAGAGCCCTTTTGTCAATATGTTTCTGGATGAGGGGCCTCACCCACGCTGTACGGGTCGCAGGGGTTACTTAACCACACATCACCACGCTGGTTGGTACGGGTTGGTGAAGGTGGTCAGTGTGCACGCGGGAGCATAGTACAATATGAGAATTAATTTTGCTGAAGTGCGGTAGGACACACATGTAGCTTCAAAGCACATTGAATTTATGTGCATTCTGGTCCATTTTAAATCACACGAGGATATCGCTTTGGGATTTCAAACAAAGCTTTGGGGAGTAAGGAAAGAACAACAAAAACTTAAATAAAGTTGTTTTCGCTCTCTCTCTCTCTCTGCTGCTGCTGCTATTGATTTGTGCAAGCCTAATCTTTCACAGGCAGTTCACAACTGCTAACTGCGCCCAGAGGGAGTCTCGCCCACTTATAAAGCACAGCGGCCCTCACCCCCCCGTTGCAGGCAGATTGAATTATAAAGCAGGCACGAGAGAGGGAAGGAGAGTTAGGGGCGGGGAGGTGTTCACGTGGGATCGCTCGCTTGGAGGTCATGTGTTTACATTTTGCTGACACGATCAGCCTTCACCAAGAGCCCGCCTGCAGTTCGGCTTTCGTGTTTGCCGGACCACGCGAAAGCATTGCACCGATGTCTATACTCCATGTGAATGGCGAGTGGCAAGCACAAAAAAATGTGATCCATGTTAGGACATGAGTGGAAGCAAGGAGGGACTTGAATTTTGCAGTGGAGGTGAAAAAAAATTAAGTGCAAGTTGAAAAGTAACTTTATCAGTCGAGGTTAATGATTGTTCCAACTTACTAACTTGTAAGTGAGCCACATTAATAATACACAGAATGCACCTGGGGGTGAAAGTGCTTTCATCTGGCTGGGAAACCCTGTAATGAGATTGTTTTGCGGAACACGTTTCTAAACTAAACTATAAACTATAATATATTTTTTATTTTACCGGGCAAGGTCCACTGAGCTATATTACCCTTATTCAGAAGCGACCTGGCTACAAATGATAGCTCAACGAAGTGGCTTATCATGTGGACATTTATAGCAGCCAAACACTTTAAACGCGCGTTTCTAAAATGTGGAGGGAAAGAACCGAGGACCCAGTGATGAATCCACGCGACCATGGGGAGAGAGAGACACTCCAACACACAGGTGTCAGGGTCGGGATGAAACCCACGACCTCCTGTATACCAGGTGAGGCAGTTAACATCTTGCCACCATTGCGCCCCAATAAGTTTCGAAAAAACTCCACCAATATAACGCAATCTGTGCCGCTTTGCGATCAGCATGCCACCGCGCGTTATGGACATTATCAACAGAAACGCGAGGTTTGCCAAGAAGCGAACATTTGTATCCAGTGTCCTTTACTTACCGTGGCGATAATAGTTCTAGACAAAAAGTGCCACATAAATTCTATGCAAAACTTGTTTACAATAGCGGAATATATATATTCGTGAAAGGCCAAATGTTTTGTTCACAGATAGATGTTGCGTGCGGATTTGAGGTTGGCTCATGCAATGCCCTATCATGTGTTTAAAGAGGTCACAAGACTAAGCTTCAGCGTTCTCATCACAACAGTAAGGCATACCACAACAGTCCAATTAGGTTAGCCACCTACTCGTGCATTAAACACAGTGCTAACATTGTAAGATAGGAATGAGCGCGTGTCCTTTTCTATCTAGGCATCTGACATTTTACAACCTTTAAATAACAATACTTGTTTCGTGGTCAAGCCTAACGAAGCTTTGCGGAAATCCCTTTACTGCCTGAAAATAATAACTCTCTTCCAAAGCATTTTATAGGTCCTTGAAAGACCATTTTTTACTTATTTTTTTTAAATAACACATGTGGTCTCTTTTTAATAAGAGCAAATATCTTCCTACAATCGAATGAATGATTACGCTGTGGCTTTCCAATAGCGTGCTCATTTAGATTACGATGCTTCTCTTTTAGAGGCGACGTTCCTCGGGATTCAAATCCATATCAGTTTTTTTTTCGCTCAAAACGCACACGCATGTGAATGCAGCCGCTCGTGATACGGTGGCCGTTCAACTGCTACATTTTCTCACATCCCACAAATAATTTATAAATCATCTTTTTTTATTGCGCGACTACATTTTTTTTGGCGGGGTGATTTTCGGGGGGGGGGGGGTGGACATTCCAAGATGAATACAAACAGCATGTGCAAATAGACAACCACAAACAGCAGTGGCGCGTACAGTGCCGGTCTCAAGCAACGCGCACAAATTTAAACGGCAAAACACATGCAGGAATGTGTTAATGAAACCTCGAAGCCTTTGATTTCGCCCCCCCCCCCGACCCAACTCACTCGCTTCCATTCCAATCAATAATGACATTGGCCGTGCAGCAGTTTAACAAGGGGCCTCATCACCGCAGGGCACGATGACGAGGGGGTGCCCGTGGAAGGAGGCCTCTTGGAAGGGGCAGAGAGGAGTGTGCTGCTCAGCTGAGCCGGCGGCGTGCGGAACCAATTAACCACGCCAGCCCCGAGACGATCAAGCCACTCTTGAAGGACGTGCAAGGGTGGTCGTCGCACGCTCAGCGCCACTGCTGCTCAAGCTGGAGGAAGCTCTGGTGCAAGGTGTCCTTAAACTCAATTTTCGAGGGGAGGGCCCCACATTCGCCGAGAAGAAATCGTCAGCGTTCAGGGCCACCACGCCGCCTTCAATGGGGGGGGGGGGTGTTGTCACACGCCGTGTATTGATGGGGTCCGCATGGCAGGGGCCGCACTAA